AGGGTTTTTTTTCAGTCATTTTTCTACGGGTGGAGTGGGGTCGCATTTCACCTCGCAGGAAGGGGTGGGGGTTGGTTAGAGTATGCATTTTCTCCCCGAATATAAATTATATTTTTGAATTTTCGTCCGGCGGAAGGAAGGGTGGTCAGTGTTTCTTTCAGACATTTTTTGGGAGGGGGGGGGGAGGCAGGAGCCACATCAATCTTTTAAATAATACTATCTAGGATTAGAGTATAGATCTATATCCAAACCAATCCATGAAAACCTAACGGCAGCTAGCTACGTTCTTGATACTAACTAACAAACGCACATCCCCATTCCCTTCCTAGATGAGGCTAATGTTGGACAGAAAATAAACCACGAACAAAATATAAGGTCTACAACTTTCCAGTTGGTAAATTGTGCACGGAAACCAAAACAAATTTTACGCCAAGAAAAACATTCAAGTAAGTGTTAGATTGAAGGACACGTGAATGTCATGCGCAGTAGTTTATTTTAATCATGTGACATCCGCGTGGTCCTATAAACTGTTATCACTGCAGGTAGTTTCATGCTACCAAAACAAACATGAAGGGAACAGCCATCAAACACAATTGTGTAACACCCGTAAATCTTTAAGACATGTGGTAACAATCTAGGCATTGAATTAGGCGTGCTAGAAATTTAAGAAATAATGTAATACTGATTTATAAATACACTACGTTTTAACTCTTTAAGTGTTACATGTAGCCTACCTAACGGGGACTATAGAAATTATAAACAGTTTTTCTGTTTAGGCATCTATCCGAGGATGCGCCCCCACCCCCCCCCCTCACCCCCACTCCCTTCGAATAGAAAAATTAAATTTAAAAAAAATAGTTTATTCCACACACCCCCTCCCCCAGGGTCGACCATAAATGACATCACACTCGTAGGGGAAGGGGATTTTGAGGGGGTGAGAATAGACTGTGTTGTGACGTCATTTTATGGGTGGTGGGGGGTGGGGTCTAGCTTACTGTGACCGAGGGGAGGTAAAAATCGTCCAAAAAAGCGTGACGACACTTATGGATGACACCCCTACCACCACCCCGATTGCAAAATATCGGAAAGAATTCATGGTTATTAATATACTTTGTTTCAATAATTAAGAAGGAGGAAGTGGCGCTGGGTGGGTCACACACTGCGAAAAGCTTACCCAAATGTTATACGCCAAGTGCTTGAGTGGAACCCCCAGGGAAAGCGGAAGAGAGGGCGCCCAAGACAGACCTGGAGGCGGAGTCTTCTTGAAGAACTGAAGCCAACAGGGATGTCTTGGGAGATGACAAAATTAATAGCCGGGGATCGGACTAAATGGAAGGAAATGGTGGAGACCCTATGTTCCATAAGGAACAAAGAGGACTAAGTCAATAAGTCAATATTGGTCGACATACAAATACTAGACCAAAGAAATGGATTTCTTGCAGCTTTGAAAATGCACGAGATGGGAGAGCGACTACTTTCAGGAAGTTTTGTGGCTACACCATCTTCGCTTTGTCCAAATAAATAGATAACAAGCAAGAAAACCAGATATACCAATGATTGCTCATTGAAAACTCTACCTAGAGGGTCAAGCACAACGAAATCTCAGTAATGTTCAGTCACAGATATCAGATTCTCTATCAGGCTGACCCAACTAATACGTTTTTTTAGGCTTCTCTTGGAAAAATAAAATTAAACTTTTACCAGTATCATCACCCCCACCCATTTTTAACAGAAGAAAAAAAGACAAAGAAACGCTGTACAAGCTACACTGTTTAACACAAACTAAATTTCACTTCAATTTGTTATCACATCACATACGAATGTGGTTTCTAAAAAATAGGCTAGGCATAAGGCATTATTAGCCCCTCTAATTGATCCGCAATGATGCATGTTTACAAATTGCGTCAGAAACAAACAACACAGCGTGTAATAAACCCTTAAACACAACCTAAGACACTCGCCATGTATTGACTAGTAACCTACTCAACAGTGAAATATACACTAGCCAGCACTTAACAGTGGACTAACAAACTGATTTCCAAAGCGTAGTGCGTCTTTAGGTTAGATAAATGAATAAACAGTGTCATTGTCCGTTATCGTAGCTGATATTAATGATAAACCAAGAGTTTACTACACGACAATGTGTACTAAAGTAATTAACTAAAGCCATTGGGCATATCTGATGAAACGCAACTGCGTAGCTATCTTCGGTTGGACTGCATTATGTAGGCCCTACCCGAAATAAAATATGCCTCTGTACAATTTCCAACTATGTTACAGTTTTTACTGGTTTTAAGAGGAGAAAATAATATCGAGGTGAGAAATAGAATGGCTGGTCACATTTAAGGCATTTGGTGTAGCCCATAGGCCTACACTGTCAGTTATTGATAAACAGACAAGAGAATAAAAGCTTTGGTACTTTATTCAGACGATACAATGTGATTGCCACTTGTCTAGATCTTACACCCCCTCTCCCTCCAAGTATTAGGCAATGCAAGTTGGGTTTTTTAACACACCTGCAGAGCGCGGTAATATTTAACTATGAGAACTAGGTCAGCGATAGTGTAGGTATCCCAATCATGCTACGGTGTATTGAACAGCACACGAGAAAGTGCTGAGTCAAGTGGCTAACACTAACAAATCTAAATCTAACACCTCAAATGGACAAATACTGAAGTGAGAATTTCCTATTGATTCTAGATCTAGGCCTATATCTATATTCTACCTTGTGTATACACACACAAAAAGTTTTCTTGTGTAGATCAGGCCTATATAAATGCTGAACAAAACACTAACCAGTAGGCCTAATTATTAATTAGGTCTAGCCTAATTACTTTTTAATGAAGGCATTTAATTAGAGCAATCTAGAGGCTAGATTGAAATTTTGGTAAACACTGTAAAATATAAGTCAATATCATATTATTAATATGATTAAGATAGTCTAGTACTAGCCTAATTAACTGTTGACCCTAAACTATAGTTTATCAGACGAATCGGTAATGAAAATACGTAAACAAGTTTATGATTATGATACATGGCGAGCAAATAGGCCTACTGAAATAACACTTATTAGGCCGAATTATAATCAACAGAACTTAATTTAGTTAGTCTTGCTTGTAGTCCTACTATTTATTTACACTGCTTAGTACTTAGAGATCTAGTATCACTTATAGTGGCAGGTAACATTCATACCTGATTACTAGATTCTCTAAACTTTAAATCAATGAAGTTAAAGGCTACTCACCTCACTGTGAACTGCAACTCTCCAACCAAGGCCTTCTGGTGAACTGACCAAGAGACGTTCAGACGGTCAATACATCAGCATCCGACACACTACACACGACACTACCCAACACACTGCCGTGCTAGCGAATGAAAAACAATTTCCCGATCGAAACCCCACGGCGAAATCCGAATTTTTCCAGTTCCGTGAAAAAAAGAAAATAGTGGAGTGTGCAGGTCACTTGCGATCAGCTGGTCTTGACGCGAGTGGTCGTCCGGAACTCTACGTCACACGCCCGGTGTTGACACGTGACACCCGGCGACAGGTGGGGTGATGAGGGGAGGGGTGGCGGGGTATTGTAAGAGTTACTTAATCAGCAGTGTAGCACCCCAGGGTACACAAAACATTTTGGACCAGTGACAGGGTTTTCTTTTCTTCTTTGGAAACTAGGTCAGTACTCTCCCCTACCTCTGGCTATTTATAACCCAGGCAAGTAAGACTAAGACTTGTCTTAGAGGTAACAATAGTGTGTCAATAGTTGCCTACTGCCTCAGGCTACATTCTAAACTCCAGTAAGTTTTAACTTTAAAAATAAATACCTTACAATGGCGTCATCTATTGGGGTTTGTAAAATTCAATTGTATAAAAACATTGGTTGTTAGAAATATGGAGAAATAAATTAACTCATATCAAATAATTAACATTTTTTCACTTCATACTTATTCAAGTTTTTTTTTTTTAAATTTAGGCTTATATGAATAATAAAGATATATAACTATGCTAAAGAGTACCATGAATAAATTAGCTTAATGTGGTTGATTTAAGGCAGGGGTTCCCAACCTTTTTTCACTCTAGAGCATATTCTAAAATACCGGTAAGGTGGCGGGCACCACCTATTTTAAATCGACAAACTCCTTCCAGAGGCGTAGCGAACCTTCCCGTCATCCGTGGACAAAACTTTCGATTTGCACCCCCCCCCCCCCTCAGACTTTCGATTTGCACCCCCTACAACCTTTCAATAATGTTTATGAAAAAAATTCTGTCTCTGTCGAATAGTGAGAGGCGGGCACATACGAATCGTTCGGCGGGCGCCATGGCTGGGAACCCCTGATTTAAGGGATCAACCACTTTCCATCCAGGTCTAGTTATTTACAATAGGCCTATTTCATCAAAATGCTTAGTAAAATCTAAATCATAGTCAAATTTCATTTTTAAATGGGTGTATTAAAGGGTGTTAAAACTCAATATTAAAACATTTTTTTTTATTAATCATTTTAAAAGGGTGAATGAACTCAAATTGAGCATTTTATTTTGATTTCTTTCTTTTAAAAAGTGCAGTATTTTACCAATCAATGAAATAATCACTCAATGATGGTAGCTATTCACCATGATAAATAAAGGTGAATCATAGAAATATGGAGTTGTTAATAATTAAGGATAATGGCTTTTTGGCATATAGATTAATGGATGCATGAGGACAAATTAAAAAAAAGGAAGATACTTAAAGATACTCTCAGAATACCAAACACAATTAAAGAGAATGCGAACTTGTAGAGCAATTAAGATAATAAAGAGACAGAAACCAATTTGATGAGAAGAAAATTTTATTCATAATGCGTAGCATAAATCATTCCATATAATAATGTTACCTTTGATAAAATATACAGGCAAATCATATGGGTTTTTAAAAGCATACAAATAATTTAATTTAAATCTTATATACTTAAAATTATTAAATCTGTTGTTACATATAAAGTTTGAATAAAAAAGGACTTACTGATGAATGCCTCCAGTAGTGAAGTATGTCATGTATGCTTTGACTAGGAGTCAAGATAAGGTACTCTCTCCATTCATTCCAGTCAATTTTCAACGTTCCATCCTTGTCCATTCTAGTCAAGTGTAAGGGAGGTAACCAAGTAATTACATAAAATGCTAGTTGTTAAATATTATTACCTCCCTTTGAAAATACAAAAACATTCAACTTTGTAACCTGTATATATAATTCTCTACTTGGATACCCTAGAAAACACCAAGCTGTAAGCGTGCCTAGCAGCCCCCTCTCTTCCTCTCTAAGCATATCATGGTCTTGGGAGCTGTGGTTCACGCACAATGTTTACAATCGTAGAGCCGGGTTTAGTGATGGCTATTAGGGGCAGATAATTTAGTTTGAAACGATTTTAAACTTAGGGGAGGTAATTAAGAGGAGGCTGCTTTCACGGGGGGGGGGGGGGGGGGGGGTAGGGTAGGAGTTGGGGGAAAGGAGGGTGTGGGGTTATCATCCTTAACGGCCTCTTGATAGTGTTTTAAAGCAAATATTTTCAGTGGCAGCATTGGTACTGTCGAATTTACAAATTATAAATTACTGAAAAGTAGAAAATAAAACAACTAAATGGCGGCGTATGATACGCAGCAGGTCGGCTCGTTCAGTTTAAACTTCCAAAAAAAATCTCACCTTTTTAACAACTTTTCAGCCTCAGATAATTCAAGATGGACGCCGAGTTTCTTAAAAGATTCCACAATTTCAGCAGCATCAACAAAGCCTGGAAGAAATAGAAATGAATAAGCTGGTAAGAAAAACACACATTTATTTAAGTGTTTAAAATGATTGTTTAAATATCAGAAAAAAGATTTAGTTTCTTATTACAATTGTGTATATCGAATGATCTTTCTTAACAAATGCACAATTTAATTTAAGCTAAGAGAACTTACCATCTGAATTTGTGTCAATTTTCTTGAAGTAGGATCTAAGCTCCGCCTCGTGGTCAGTAACATATCTGACAAACTCTTCAAAGTTGATTTTGCCATCTAAATTTTTATCATATTTTTCAAAGAATTTCTGAAAGTAGAAAAACAGTAACTGACTAAACAAGTATCAACAAGTTATTTAATTAAATGTTCTGTTTTAGTTTTTTATCATATAAATGCAGCAGTAAAAGATTATTCATTAGATAAAATTAAAAGATTATTAATTAGAAAAAGCTATAGTAAAAGATTATTCATTAGATAAAAGCAGCAGTTAAAGATTATTAATTAGATAAAAGCAACAGTAAAAGATTACTTAGAAAATATTTCAAACTCCTGTTATCAACAACTAGTTATTCCTATTTCCTTCCTAGCTAGGAGGGGATTTTTTAATGTTTCTAGTTGTAACATATGAGGAATTACAAATTCTTATTTTTAAATATGTAAATCTAAATTTAAAACTAGATGTTCTATTTTTACTGAAATTCAAAACTAGCCAGTTAAAAATACCACCCAACATCCGTGCAATGGCTGTAGCTTTCATCAAGGTATCCAACAGCTGTTTTTTTTTTTTAAACTGCACAACTGCTAATTTTATGTAACTAAACATTTTTTTACTGCTCAACTCTAAGGTTACACTTTTTAAGTTTAGTTTAATGTTTTACACAGCTGTAAGTGTAAGCAAATGATGATCTAGAGTCAATGGGTCAAAGAGCTAGTCATGTAAAATCATGTCAGGAATACTTAACTTTGTTTACAGAATACAAAGTATTTAATATGGAAATAGTGTACAAACATGCAAAACTATTCAGTTATTTGCACAAGAAAAAATTATGTGTAGATATATACTAATATATAGTTTTGCTGATAACTAATGTTTTGAATCATTCTGTCATTAATGTGAACATAATTAAAGACTATCAGTACATTAATCAAATTGTTTGACGACACAAATTTAAAATTCCTCCAGAATTAAAATTAATCTACAAAACAAGTTGTATTTTGTTGCTGTTATTTGAACTCAGCATAGCTACTTTAGGGTTGGTTTTCTTATTTGTGATTTGTATTGATAAAAAGATGGGATGGCATGGTGGAATAGTAGCGCATACGACTGCTAACCCGAAAGTCTCAAATCGGGGTTCAAGTCTATAGAAGGTTCATGGTTCCACTGGGTACCTAGTTTGTTAGGGAAAGTAAAGGTGGCTGGGCATTGCGCTGACCACGCTACCCTTCATAATTCAGAGGTCATGGAAAAAGGTGAACTCTACTTTACCTGCCCCATGGACCATCAGGTTAGAAAGGGAACTTTACTTACTGATGAAGAGACTAAAGAAAGACAATCCAGCAAGACAGTTCTGATAATAGTGCTCAAAAACTGTCATGACTTAAAAGATTACTTGGTTGACTTGAAAAACTATTATTATCTTATGCAACAAAAAGTAGTATGGTATATCATACAGAAAACCCCAAAGGAAAAGGCAGACATAATCTTAGATGATAGAGGATGTGGAGATAGACCTATGACAGATCCAGGAGATAATTCTGAAAATAAGAAGAAGATGGTGAAGCTGGCTAAAGCTATACAGCCACATAGATAAAAGGATGCTTTAATCGCTTGAAAGTTCTCTCTTATCTCAAGTACTGGATGTTTAGGTACATACTCTAGCACAAATTATGGGATGGTGTGGTTCAGTGTTTCTTCCAGACTTTCTCCGGGTGGGGGGGGGTTTACTTTCTTCGGGGGGGGGGGGGGACGAAGAGATGCCTGGAAGAAACTCTGGTGTGGTTGAATGATAGAGTGTTTGGCTGCGCTTGGACTTGTGAGTGTATGTGTCCCTGAATCTACCCCAGCAGATATATTTTATCAGCTTTAAAAAAAGATGTTATTTGTCTTTTCCTTTTTAGGAATCCATTTATTTTAAAGAAATACAGTAAAGCTGATTCAATGTACAAAAGTTAGATCTAGAATCTGCATGGTTTTAGTCTTAACTGGAAAACAATAACCATAATTATACATTAAATTAAATTATAATAAATGGTGTTTTTTTTTCTCTAAATTTTTAATCCTTTAAATTTAAAAATACAAAACTAAACAACGTCATTGCATTGTCAAATTTACATATAAACTACTATAAGCTTACAAACATAAAATAAAACACTTTTTCATAATCCTAAGTTAAGTAAATAAGCAAAAAATAAATTTCCTTTTTTTTTTTTACATTTTTTCCCTTGATGATTAATCAGTAATAGATCTAGATTGATGTAGAATTTAGAAAAGATCTAGAGTCTGGAATCTAGACTCTATCTAGATAGATCTAGTCTACTTCAAGTTTACGGAATACTGAGGAATATTTCACTCAGTGCGAGTGCGTGCTTTTGGTACTCGACACTTTACTGGACTTTACTCGTGAAATACTGACTGCTGAGAAGCACAGCCGTGCAAAATCAGGCTAAACAATTAAAATTAATTAATTAATTGTTTGCGTAGCAATTGCAAATTATAATGATAACTTGGGTATTTTTAACCGATTTATTTCATGAATTTCTTTGTCGAGTTTCTTGGCTAGTAATTTAGTTTAGACTTTAGACTAGAGGTGTTGTTTATACGGTGTTGATAAGGAAGGAGTGGCATTATTTTTAAAAACATTTCCGCATCGAAATTTTTGTTTAACTTACCTCTGCGTGACCAGGAATCTGGGGTAGCTGCATAGCAGACATAGCCTTCTTTAAATCATTTAAATCCAGCTTTCCATCTTGATTTATATCTAGCTTCGAAAAGAATTCGTGCAGTGTTTTTTCTTCCTCTGGCGAAAGCGGAATCTCCTCCTCTTTCGCATTTTCAGTAGCTTTTGTCGCCATTTTGCTGCGTAGGATAAAAGTTGTTTATGGATTATTCTTAGACCTACATTCCCTGTCAGAGGGACATATCGCAGTGTCGGGCAAAATTTTGCCATAACACCGGTTGGTTCATACTTGCTATTTTTTTTTACCTGTTATTTTAGGCTAGGTTGCACTTAGCCTTTTGCTGTTTCAGCCTTAGCTTTTGAGCAATAGTAAAATAAAATTATTAGATCAAGGCTAAGTTGATATTTAAAAAAAAACATTTTTTAATAACCGGATATATTAGTAACTGTATTGTAAAGTTAATAATGTAGCTGTTTTCTGTAAGCACTGTGCTGCAGTTTCTAACGGTAATTGCGTAATAGTGGGGGGGGGGGGGAGTAGTCTGATAGAAATAATTAAAAAAATAAATTCTGCTAGACGTCTTACCTTTGCAATTTTTAGCCGGCAACTAGATTCTAGGTCTAGATGTGTTCGTCTAACTTTTTTGTATAACGTATTGGAAATCCTTGTGAGATTACCGTGGGCTACGGTCTGATAAAGTCGACCTATAGGGGGAACCGGTTTCAATGCTGTAGTGGTAGATCTAGGCCTAGATCTATCTCTAAATGTTTGCAACTTTTAATATGGTCGGATCGGCTCGATTCATTCCGATCTGCCGAGTCTTTTCAAGTTTGATAAAGATAAACATTTTTAGAACACGTATTCGAGCTTGAAAGTTAAACACGTAACTCTTTCAACGGGTTTTTTACAAGCGTTTTTTTTTATGCGTTGGCCCAGTAAACACTAGTTTATTAATGACATCCATAAACTGCTGATGCAAACAAAACAAAAACGCAATTTATTAACTTGATCAAAATCCACACCTTTGATTAACAATTAATAAGCTATTTGGATAAGACACTCGCAGTACAGAGACTGATTAATGAGAGGAGGGGGGGGTGGCAAACAAGCAAAGCCAGGCTCCCACCCAGTGTTTCTTCCAGACTTTTCTCCTGGGGGTGTCAGAGGGGGAGGGAGCACTTGATTTTTTATGGGAGGGGGGGGGGCGGACATTGGTAAAAGTATGTTTTCTAAATAAATTCCACTTCGTTGGGGGGGGGGGGGGGGGGGGCGGTAGACTCTCTCTCCCCCCCCCCCCCCAAGAGATGCCTGGAGGAAACTCTGCTCCCACCCCACCATCAAATGTATGGACCCCGCATGTTAGTTTTATAACAGGAACATTGAGACAATGCAATACATAAGCCTAATAATCGCTGGTGTCGAGGACAAATATCATTTGGGTCGTGGACAATACCCTCCGGTCAATTCACCCCCCCCCCCCCCCACCCTATACCTCTCATGTCGCTCAGCTGGCTAACATCCCCATGTTAATTAAAGACAAGGGGACGGCGTGGTCGAATGGTATAGAGCGTTTAGTTGCTAGCACGAAGGTCTCGAGTTCGGACATGTGACTGTAAGACGTCACTGAGTACACCCAGCTCTGATGGGTACCTGACTTATGTTGGGGGAAAGTAAAGGCGGATGTGCATAGTGCTGTGCTGACTACACTATTCCGATAGACAAGTTCCGGGGAGAGGGTGTACCCTTCCCCGAAGAGATGCCTAAAAGAAACTCTGCTCCCTTAAAAGCCTGGACCCCCCCCCCCCTCCCCATACACACACAAACCCGCCACTGCATTAGTCCTATGACCGGTGTCGACTCAACTTGTACACCATTACCAATAAACCACGACAAGTCTAAAACTAAAGAGGGCCGTGACTAATTTTTACTTTAAAATAAAATAACCTACATCGCAGCTCCGTTTACTAAAAAAACTTACATTTATCATTGCTAGTAAACCGGGACAAAGTTTGTTTCTTTACTATTACAATTATAAAAAAGACCGTGAATAATTTTACTTTTTTATAAACCAAAACATCATCAGAAGAAAATCTTAGTTTACATCACGAATGATTTTCGCGTACATCACACCTTGCAGCCTGTCTATAGACAGCACCAACCTGTGAAGAGTTAGCCTAACGTTTCACGTCTGCTACACCTTGCAATCTTGCACTTTTTTAAAGATGATCCACACCGAAATATGTTCATATAAATATGTTGTTCACAACTTTTTTTTCCAAAATGGCGAGATTGTTTGCAGCTGGGATTCTAGGTCTGGGAAGGCGTTTTGGTGGCTTTATTGGGTACCCAACTCATGTTAGGGAAAGTAAAGGTGGCTGGGCATAGTACTGACAGCACTATCCCTTTATATGCCGAGGTCACGGAAACAGGTGAACACTACTTCATTTGCACCATAGACCGTCAGGGGACCTTTACTTTTACTTTTTAAATTTAAAATCTGTTTTCAAGTATGAATCAAGAAATTTAACAAGAAAATAAACGGAGACTTCTCACATTGAAACTATAATTGTTTTTCGGTTTAGCAACCATAACCTACTATGCTTCTAACCTTAACCCAATACTGACCGTATCACTTATCCTGGCACGGCAATAGCAACAAGAAACAAAATCACTCTACAACATAGTACTGCCTTGTCGGCGATCAACAACGGTTGACTGCACCTGTAACCCCCGCCCCCCCCCCCCCCCCACCCTGCTGCAGTTATTTCTAATGAATGTACACGCATGCCCTCGCTTGATGAATAAAAACAACAACAGAAGTAGCCTACATTAGCAGCCTGTAAACGCGGATGCGAAAGGTAAGGAAAATTGGGTCAGAGGTGAAGTGGCGTAACAAGGGTGTGGAGGGGGGCGGTTCACCCCGGTCCCCGTTACTATAGGCTACAATATTACCTATTATCCAGTGCACGTAAATCATGTTCAATATAACCAATATTTTTATAGAAAACTCACGAGATTGCCGCTAGTTTTTTGTTATGACTACAAAAAAAAAAAAAAAAAAAAAAAAAAAAAAAAAAAAAAAAAAAACACGCTGAATGATAAGAAGCTGAGTGTATAGGCCTACTTGTACGAAGCCACACTGCAAATTTCCTTCATGTTTATGAGTAGCTTCACGATGATTCACACCCCCCCCCCACCCTCAACACCTAGGTTAATATTGTGTCATCATGCTAAATATACGGGGTGCAGTGTAATCACTCGTTCGTTTTTCGTATATACACTGAAGAGGGGTCAGCCGTTCATTCAGACATCTCTTCGGGGGCACCGTTACCCATCACCCCAACGAAATATAATTTACATACGAAATATATACTTTAATCAGTGTTCTGAAGTGGGATGGGGGGGGGATGGAGGAAGTTGTGCTTACATCATTTGGCGTCATCATTAATTTCGTCACGCTTTTGACGATTTAAAAAAAAAATCATTAGGTACATTTTTTATTACTATTTACACAAATGTTCTGCCCCACCCCACCCTCTCCCACACACACAATGACCACGAATATCAAAATATCCATTCCCATAGTAATATGTCCTCCATGAATCACCCTTATATATTCACAATGGCCTCCGTCATCCCCTATACATATATGCCTGTGTATATATTTGAATGTTGGTGTGTATACAAATACTAATAGCCTATATATATATATATATATATATATATATATATATATATATATATATATATCTATATATATAAAGCAAAGTGGTCAAGTGCCCGATAGGGCACTTCCCGGCGCCGCAGGCGCGTCAAATTTGGCACGATGGTGCCTTCGGGCGATAGAACACGAAGGCCGGTGACGGTTGGCCGAAAAGTCTACGGAGAAGGGGTCAAAACTGACCTCGACTGACCGGCGCCTTATATGGGCTATATTACGAAAAAAAAAATTCCTCCGACGACCCCCCTTGAAATTTTGTGAGGTGGTAGGAGAACACCTTGGGGTGTCACAAAAAACTCGCCATGTCCGGGAAAAATCGGGAAATGGGTCAAAACTGACCAGTCGTATTTCCCTATATAATCTTTGTATTTTATGGGAAAAACAGAGGGTCATTTCAAAACGGATTTTAGGGCACTTACCCTGTTTACATCTGGCTAATTTTTGGCATGTTTATAGGTAAATGGCTTGACCGTAGGGCAGACCTGTCGGTCTTACTCAAAGCCCTCGACGAGGGCTAAAAAGTGACCGCGAGTGAAATTCTCTTTATATGAGTTCTATTACGAAAAAAAATTTCCTCCGACGACCCCCCTTGATATTTTGTGAGGTGGTAGGAGAACGCCTTGGGGTGTCACAAAAAACTCGCCATGTCCGGGAAAAATCGGGAAATGGGTCAAAACTGACCAGTCGTGTTTCCCTATATAATCTTTGTATTTTATGGGAAAAACGGAGGGTCATTTCAAAACGGATTTTAGGGCACTTACCCTCTTTACATCTGGCTAATTTTTGGCATGTTTATAGGAAAATGGCTTGACCGTAGGGCAGACCTGTCGGTCTCACTCAAAGCCCTCGACGAGGGCTAAAAATTGACCGCGAGTGAAATTCTCTTCATATGAGCTCTATTACGAAAAAAAATTTCCTCCGACGACCCCCCTTGATATTTTGTGAGGTGGTAGAAGAACACCTAGGGGTGTCACAAAAAACTCGGCATATCTGGGAAAACTTCGTAAAGCGGTCAAAACTGACCAGTTGTATTTCCCTATATAATCTTTGTATTTTATGGGGAAAACAGAGGGTCATTTTAACGCAGACTTTAGGGTACTTAAGCTCAGTATATCTGGCTAATTTTTTGCATGCTCATAGGTCAATGGCTTGACCTTTAGGGAAAACTGTCGGTTACACTCAAAGCCCTCGACGAGGGCTAAAAAGTGACCGCGAGTGAAATTCTCTTTATATGAGCTCTATTACGAAAAAAAATTTCCTCCGACGACCCCCCTTGATATTTTGTGAGGTGGTAGAAGAACACATAGGGGTGTCACAAAAAACTCGGCATATCTGGGAAAACTTCGTAAAGCGGTCAAAACTGACCAGTTGTATTTCCCTATATAATCTTTGTATTTTATGGGGAAAACAGAGGGTCATTTCAACGCAGACTTTAGGGTACTTAAGCTCAGTATATCTGGCTAATTTTTTGCATGCTCCTAGGTCAATGGCTTGACCTTTAGGGAAAACTGTCGGTTACACTCAAAGCCCTCGACGAGGGCTAAAAAGTGACCGCGAGTGAAATTCTCTTTATATGAGCTCTATTACGAAAAAAATTTTCCTCCGACGACCCCCCTTGATATTTTGTGAGGTGGTAGAAGAACACCTAGGGGTTTCATAAAAAACTCGGCAATTCTGGGAAAACTTCGTAAAGCGGTCAAAACTGACCTGTTGTATTTCCCTATATAATCTTTGTATTTTATGGGGAAAACAGAGGGTCATTTTAACGCAGACTTTAGGGTACTTAAGCTCAGTATATCTTGCTAATTTTTTGCATGCTCATAGGTCAATGGCTTGACCTTTAGGGAAAACTGTCGGTTACACTCAAAGCCCTCGACGAGGGCTAAAAAGTGACCGCGAGTGAAATTCTCTTTATATGAGCTCTATTACGAAAAAA